AAACAAAGAGTTTAGCCCTAATGGAATCGCTCTGGGTGTTTAAATTGGGCCTTATTGTTCTTATGTACAACATTTCATAAACAAGACAATCCCATTTCGTGCCGCATTTTTTAAGCATTCTAAACTGGCTCTCATTGAGTAAGTCAATGTTCCCATGGGCATCTCTCAGGTGGCGACCAATGGCAGAGTATCGATGATCAGCAATGCGTTGAAACAGATGGCGCGTCGTATATCCGACGTAATTTGAATCACACAAATCACATTTAAAACAGTAAACAACACTATGCTGATTTAAGATGCGTGGCTTGATTTCTTTAAGCTTTAGGTCCTGCTCAAGTTTCTTACTGGTGTAGACTGGTTGTACATCAATGCCAATTTTTGAACTGAGATCGCGCATTTGTCTTTTGGCAATGTTCACTGAGATTTGATCTTTGAAAGGAATACTGACTCTTAAAGTTTCAACAGATTTTGTCTTAGTATCTGGTGTAGAGGAATAATCACATTTGTCGATAATAAAGTTCACCAAAGAACTAGGGTAACCAAGGCGATGAAACATAGATTTTAGATGCCTACACTCATCGACGAATGCTTGATGCGTAGAGGACAATTCCTTATCGGACGCATACTTACAAGCGTTATGTCGACGATACGCTTGCAATAATGCCTGGACTCGATGTAGCTGTAAGTTTCCTCAATGTACTCAATGGACTCCACCCTAGTATTCATTTCACTATGGAACTTTCCAACAACGATTCAATTCCTTTTATTGGAACGTTGATAACAAAGAACGGCAACAAGCTGGAGACTCAGGTCTATCGTAAACCTACGAACACGGGCCTTTTACTTCACTTTCAAAGTCACACCGATTTGCGCTACAAGAAGTGTCTTATCAAAACAATGGTTCATCGTGCAAAGGAATTGTCCTCTACGCATCAAGCATTCGTCGATGAGTGTAGGCATCTAAAATCTATGTTTCATCGCCTTGGTTACCCTAGTTCTTTGGTGAACTTTATTATCGACAAATGTGATTATTCCTCTACACCAGATACTAAGACAAAATCTGTTGAAACTTTAAGAGTCAGTATTCCTTTCAAAGATCAAATCTCAGTGAACATTGCCAAAAGACAAATGCGCGATCTCAGTTCAAAAATTGGCATTGATGTACAACCAGTCTACACCAGTAAGAAACTTGAGCAGGACCTAAAGCTTAAAGAAATCAAGCCACGCATCTTAAATCAGCATAGTGTTGTTTACTGTTTTAAATGTGATTTGTGTGATTCAAATTACGTCGGATATACGACGCGCCATCTGTTTCAACGCATTGCTGATCATCGATACTCTGCCATTGGTCGCCACCTGAGAGATGCCCATGGGAACATTGACTTACTCAATGAGAGCCAGTTTAGAATGCTTAAAAAATGCGGCACGAAATGGGATTGTCTTGTTTATGAAATGTTGTACATAAGAACAATAAGGCCCAATTTAAACACCCAGAGCGATTCCATTAGGGCTAAACTCTTTGTTTAACTTTTAACGTTTTGTAATTTATTCACCGCTTCATTATATATATGCTCGATTTTATTATTTTAGTTTACTTGATAATGACGTTCTGGAAACGTCGAAACGTCGTGTCATGCTTTATAATATTTTATCGCAGTTTTTCAAAACTTTTTTTCCGACGGAAATTCGAGATGGCCGCTCCAAGGACGAGCGGCACTTAAGTGTGCTGAGTGTGGTATCAAAAACGCTAAGAAATAAAAAATTAACGTGTTATCTAATCGTAACAGTGGAAAATGTTTCCCCTTTGTTCCATAACGTTTTGTGTACTGCGTTAGCGTGATGTAAGCGTGCTCTAACTTGTAGCCTCAAACTTCCCGTGGACTTGAGTTCAAGCGATTTCCGATACACATTGAAAAGTTCAATCATCTAAACTTAACATCCTAAGCCTTGGTCTCCTGAAGTTGCTCCTGAAGTTGAAGCCTTGGTCTCCGCAAATTATTCCTTTGAAAAAGCCTTCTCTTCCTGTTTTTATCATGTTGTCACCCAAAAACGGAGTCATGAGGTAAACTCTTTAATAAATAATTTAACCAAAGGCAAAAAAGAAAAAAATACGCATTTTGGTAAATTATGCTCATCCACATTACTTTAAATATTTTGCATTTTACGCCCTGTACAGGTCACAGAAATGTAATCTGCTCCAAGAGAACTTGGATACCGCATGAGAAGTGTCATTTCTTGTTTCGTGAGAGGCAGTTGAAACGTCGTGAGCTCTGGAAATTTTGTAGTCAATCATATCTTGCACCTGCTCCATTCATGCAGCTTTTAATTATTAAAATCAAACAATTACCATAACGGATAATTTTATCTTTAATTTTCTACGAAAAATTAAAATCTTTTGCACCTTTTACTAGCTCCTTCAGATGTTGATTGTCCACCAGCCACCATCATGCTCCTCCTGCCAATCTTGATATTTTTTCCTTCGTTACTTAACTTGATGTTTGCCAA